AAGTGCAAAGGCCAGGTAACTGAATGATATTACACTATGTAACAGATGCCAGTTACTGGACAATGAAATCAGGCACTAGCAGAAACTTGATCAGAAAGAAATTAGCTGATCACGTAGTGAGATGTACACTCATAGGAATGTAAATGAACAAACTTTCTGGGCAACAACATGATGATATTTATCAAGAGCCTTAGATCCCTTCTGCCCTATTTTAAACAAATAAAAAGAATCTTTTAAAAGTCCTTATTTTTTAATCCATAGGTTCCATTTCTAGTAATGTAATAAATATGCACATTTATGTGTAAGAATGCTCAATATATTGGGTATATTTTCCAAAACAATGGAAATAATCCAGATATTCAATAGGGAATTGTTGAAAAAATTATTCTATGTACTTGCTGAAATATCATGCAACAACTTTTTAAAAACGTATACTTTCAATGAAGATTTAATGATACACTATAATCTGAATAGGAGCTCTGGTAGCAAAGTGTCTAAGGCACTTGACTGCTAACCAGAAGGTTGGTGGTTCAAACCCACCAGCCACTCCTCAGAAGGAAGATGGGGCAATCTAATTCCGTAGTGATACTGCCTCGGAAACCCAAGGAGGGGTCATTATGAGTCAGGTCTGACTCGATGGCACATAACAACAACAATAATCTGAATATTGGACAAAACGCACAAAGAAAAAAAGATTGAAAAGAAACATTCAAATGAAAATAGTGGTAATGTCTGGGTGATAGAATTCTGAGTGATTTTTTATTTGCTACTTTATTCTTTCATACATTTTCCAAATTTTCTGCAGTGAGCACACATTTTTAAAATCAGGGAAAAGTTTTTCTTAAAATGATAAAGAATCTTCACTATAATGGGTGGTTTATAACTTCTTTAGCTACACAAAGGAGTGCATAGTCATTTACCTGTCCCCGTGCTATCTTGGATTCCTGTAGCTGAAGTGTGTATCTCAGAAACACACTTATGTGTTTGTTCTAAAATTTCACAAGATATTGTGACTTCTGATACATAATACTGTCCCAGTATAGTATCACAAAACACATCACTAAGGTATACTAAATAAGGTTATTTACTTAAAACTGATATATCAGACATAATCTGTATATAGAACAAAGCAATTAATGGTAAACTTAATTAAGACACCTTTGAAGCCAGATGCTGTACCAAAATATATTTAGTGTGTTACATATCAAAGATGAATCTGTATTTTTGATGTTTTATAATCATGTAAAAAACTGCTTAGTTTTACCCTTCTTTCTATGTATAGTTTCTCTAATTAAATTATAATGGTATTTCCATTTTATAGTATACTTACATTTTACTATTTAAAGGGGCAAGACAAAAGACGATAAAAGGGCTTAAATAATTCCATTTAAACATAGTACAGAGCATAAGCTAAAATGGAGACAATATATTTAATCTTTGGCAAAAGCAGTATTCACCATATTTTCCTTCTGGGATGATCATGAGGCTTCACATTATGGTGATCTAGATCTAATTTAGTTTTATGAACATTTCAACTCTTTGCAGACTTTCCATTGTGACTTTCATAAAATGAGACAAGAAGATAAACCACTACACTGTTACTTTAGTATCTGACCCATTAATAATATAACCAATTTTCAACAACACAAGGGGTACAACAATCTTTTTAAAAAATCAACTGATATTCCTGTGGTTGAGATTATTTTCGATATTTAGAAACATTTCAGAGCACCATATTTGAAAAAAAAGAAAAACTTAAGTAATTTGATTTATAATATCTGCCCTGGAATAAATTCAAATTCAAATTTGATATCTGGCAAATTCAGAGATGCATGAGTCTTGAAAGACTGAATTGTATTTTTGTTATAAACAGAAACAAAACCTTAAAAAAAAAAAGGTACTGAGTATTTATTAGAGTGAATAAATAAAAAATCTGGCACATTCTAAGAAAACAATTTTCAAAAAATATAGGTCACTTTCAAGGTTTAGAAAAACTTATGGACAGTGGAAAGGCAACATAAAATGTTGGATTTTAAAATATATTTTCTGAAAAAATTTCCAAGTAAATCAGAGTCAAAATTTACACTTCAGAAACTTGATTAAAAAAAAAGTATAAAATAAAAGCTTAGAATAAACAAACCAGAGGAGACAATCCTAGCGTATCTTTACTTCTAGAGATATTTACTAGTATAAGGAGGATAGCATAGTGGCTAAGACACTTGCCTGCTAACCAGACGGCTGGCGGTTCAAACCCACCAGCCACTCCTCGGAAGGAAGGTTGGGCAATCCTACTTCCGTAGTGATACTGCCTCGGAAACCCAAGGAGGGGTCGCTATGAGTCGGGGCCGACTCGACGGCACATAACAACAACAACAAAAGGAGGATTTATCAAGAGAATTTTGAGGGTTAGTTTTTGCTGTTTATCTTCCGGTAGTTTTGGTGTTTTAATTATTGAAAGGAATGATTGATAGAGTCAGATATTTTTAAAGCGCTGAAATGTAAGTGGAGCAAATGGCTTCCAGGTATTTACAAAGTACTAACTGTGATGCTACATAATAATACTGGTCTGCCACATGCTTTAAATATTTCACCTACTGGATGAACTTGACAACTTAAGAGAAGGAGAAAAGAAATAATCAAGAATTAACTTTTTTAGACTTTAGGATCACAAATATGGCAAAATTTGTTTTCTAAAGAACATATTATGCTAAAAATTATTTCTACTGAACAAGTTTCTAAGATTAATCACTTTTATTCACCAAGCAACTTTCAAAAAAAAAAAATATTTACACTGCTCTGTTACCTCCAAACTATCTATAATTTTCTACTTACATCTACCATTTTAATATTTCCAAGAGGAAAGTGTGCCTTTCCTTATATACTTTCTTGTTTATTAAGATGATAAATGATTTTCAAGATTTATAATTAATCAAGTAAAAAATAAAGTTAAGCCACTCCTTGGAAGGAAGGTTGGGCAATCTACTTCCGTAGTGATACTGCCTCGGAAACCCAAGGAGGGGTTGCTATGAGTCAGACCTGACTTGATGGCAGTGAGTTTGATTTTGGTTAGACCAAGTAAATCAGAGCGCTTCAGCGTTCTCAAACCACAAGACAATATAGGTTATAGTATCTGTATTTCTCATTTTAGAGATGTGGAAAAACATTTTTAAAGTACAAGGTATTGGGTATTATCAACAAGCAAATTTACTTATGACGAATACTTCAAATTTCAATTAAAGAAAACTTTATCAGTAAAACAAAGTCAAAACTGTTCAATCTTTCCAAGCAAGTCTAAATTTATGAAATTTGATGTGTAGACAAATAGATGAATTTCAACCTTAATGCCAGACAATTTTTGTTTTTATAATGGAAGGGACAAATGCTCTTTTTTTCTCCCTTTAACTTAAAGCTTTTTGAGTATGTTGTGATACAATCACATTTAATTTATTTTTCACTCAAAGAAAACTGACTTGACGCCCCCATGAGCTGTTTTTTCAGAATAGGACATATGTATAATAACTGTAAGTAAGTAAGGAATATTTCTTGGGATAACAAGGCATCTATAAAATATGTAGCATTTTATTGAATAACATCTCTAAAGTATAGATATAGATATGGAATAGATACTGATTTTTATGCCAGACTTTTCATTTTCTTTACAAGTTATGGAACAGAAATCATAAAACCAACATTTCAAATAATTTAGATGTTTAAAACTTATTTAACAGTAGTTGTTGATAAAGTTATATAAGCTCCAACATATAAATTTATAATTAGTGGTTCCTTTCATAAAGGAAAATCGAAATATTATCTTAATTAAAGATTTTTGCCTCGAGTATATCTTAACAAAACAAAATCTTGGTTTTGGTAAATTACAATGAATGCATTCATTCTGAAAATTGACATCACTCTACTTTATAACATTTTTTTCTGATGATCTTTTACTTTTTCCCTTAAGGACAGGATGTGAGATGTACATAAGCTGGTTTCTACAGTATGAATGTATGAATATGGTTGTAATGGAGCAGGAGTTTCACAAATAAAGCACATTACACACAAAATATAAATAACTTTCTTTTCAAAGTTACTGAGAATTTAAAGGAATACAGGATATGGTTATAGGCACTTACATTGCTATCATATGTAATTCACTTCAATAAGAAGTACTTTTTCCTTAGAAGGTTCATGGCATCTTAAGTTCCAATTTTGGAAAGGATGTTTTCATGACATAAAAATAATTACACACAACAAACAAAACAATGGTGGTCAGGAAAACGAAGCCCAAATTTATAGACATTTCTAATTTCTTTTGACCTTTATATCAACTTTTATGTAAGAAATGCAGTTGGTGGGGAAACTGATGTCATTTGTAAGGTTTTTATGTGATTGGCCAATCTTGATCAGATATTGCATTTTTCAAGCACGAAACTACTAACCACCAATGTCTTCCTCAGCATTCATAATCTTGGTGTGCACGTTCATGGCCACACACACACACTCCATTATAAAGGCAATGACAAACTATAATAAACTAAGTGGTATCCCAAACAGATCATAATCTATAGGCTGTTTTACAAAGGTAAATACAAACAGATTACATTTTTTTCAGGTAGAGGCAGAAGTTATTATTTCTCCATCTCTGCTAAATTCATTTATCTCTTAAGGCTTTCACAGAAAGCACCATTTCATGAACAGGCAATTCAGTACCCAGACTTTGACTGGAGACTTAATAGGACTGAAGTCTTGATGCAGTTCATAAAAAAACAATTAAAAAGAAAAAGCATCAAAAACCACATTTAAAATAAAGCTGTCCATATAGAAAGATTTAAGTTTTTAGAAGTTCCCAGCCTATATTCTACAGAGTACTGAAAGGTTTAATATTAGCAGCCCATGAAGGTGTAGTGAGGAAAGAGTCTGAGAACCAAGTTAACATCCTTATTCTCCCATTCCTTGGGTGAAATAGTTCTAGTCTGGATTTTCTGCTCATGACTGTGTAAGTGTCAAATCTTTACATCTTGGGATTCAACCATCTTGGCAAGTGTTTTCTTGATTCTCAATGCTGTAAGTCTAGAGGCTGGATTGTGGGCCCAGCATTCTGACATTAGCTTCAAAACTGCTCGTAGACACTGAAGAGAAAAGAGAAGGTAGTAAGCAGGTAAACATCTGTGGCAAGACTTACTAATCACTTTCTCAGGGAGTGGAGTTCCACTTACTTCATCACTGTTCCAGCGATTAGACACAATTGGTCGCAAACGTTTGACACACACAACCTCACGCATATCTTCATAGGAAGGATCATTGGGTACCATGTTATAGTATGGCAACTGGTACTCCTCTACAATCCCTAGAAGTAAAAAATATACACTGGGCACAAAAATGATGACTGAATAAAACATATCTATTCAGCATCTTTAATGAACTATGAAATTAAACCATATTCCTACATAAAGACTTTTAAGAGTGGATGATTCACTTTCAATAGTAACTGCACTTTCATCTGTTGTTTATGTTCAATAACTTCTTCTACATCCATAAAGGTTCCCATTACAACTGCGATACATTCAATCCATAAAGGTTTTATTACCAATATCTCTTAGAAAAAAGCAAGATGAATTGCTCACTTACCCTAAATTTTTAATCTAATTATTTTCTTACATGACTGCTCTACTAGTTTTGTTTTGCAGTATAAAGACTTCATGTGATATGCAGAAAAAAATATGGCAGGTCTGAAGATGCTCTCCTTAAAAAGGGCTGCTAGCAATATTGGCCATGGGCTAGTTATCTAGGAACTTGGTTGGTAAGCAGCTTCCCAAAGCAATGTAAAACTTTCTCAAAATGCTAAGAGTAGTTCTCTGTGTCTAAATTGTATAAACAATGTGGTTTACACAGAACACCAGCTTTACTTCTGGGATTCTGAAATCCCATGTACATGCTAGGCAGAGGATGCCTATGTGACCAGTTCCTGATAAATAGCTTGGGTGCTGAGTCTCTAATGAGTTCTCTTGGATGATAATATTTACACCACATGTTAGGAGCTCTGGTAGCATAGTGGCTAAGGCACTTGACTGCTAACCAGAAGGCTGGCAGTTCAAACCCACCAGCCACTCCTCGGAAGGAAGGTTGGGCATTCCTACTTCCGTAGTGATACTGCCTCGGAAACCCAAGGAGGGGTCGCTATGAGTCGGGGCCGACTCGATGGCAAACAACAACAACAACAAGGACTTTTGGAAGCATAAAACACCAAGAGAAAACAAATCCTTTAGCACTGAGTCAATTCTGACTCATAGTGACCCTACAGGGCAGAGGAGAACTGTCCCGTAGTGTTTCCAAGGCTGTGATCCTCACAGAAGCAGAGTGTCACATCGTTTTTTTCCAGAGAGTTGCTGGTGGGTTCAAACTGCTGACCTTTTGGTTCCCATCTGAATGCTTAACAACTGTGCCATCAAGACTCATTTTTGGAAGTGAATACCTGGTTTTCTCTGGACTCCACCCCAGGTGCTTTTTACCTTTGCTCCTTTGTTTTGTATCCTTCACTGTAATAAATCGTAACTATGAGTACAACTATATGTTGAATCCCATCAATCCTAGAAAAATCACTGAACTTAGATTAGAGGTGGTTTCACAAACTTTGGACATGTTATCAGGAAGGACCAATCCCTGGAAAAGGACATCATGCTTGGTAGAAGGTCAGCAAAAAAGAGAAAGACCCTCAACAAGATGGACTGACACAGCTGGCTCCAATAATGTGCTCAGACATAGCCACAATTGTGAAGACAGTGCAGGAGCAGGCAGTGTTTTGTTCTGTTGTACACAGGATAACTGAGTTGAAACCAACTTGATGTCACTTAACATGAACAACCACAGAGGTGGTCTCAAGGATCCCTGAATCACACAACATTTAAATTACATAACTGGAGCCATTATTTTAAAAAATGATGGATATTTAAGTATAACCAGAATCACACTACCCCAAATTCCTACCTCCTGTGATACAACGACGAGCCATTTCCCAAATGATCAGGCCAAAGCTATAGATGTCAGCCATTATGTATGGCTGGAAATGGTTTTTATTCAGGCTTTCATCTAACACTTCTGGAGCCATATAGCGTTTCGTACCCACCCTGGTATTCAAGGGCACATCAACTTCATTTGTATCACTGAAATAGCAGAAAGACAACATACATGCTGAGGTCCATGTTGATACAATAGTTAATCTTACATTTTGTAAGATTCTGTAACTGTTAAGTCTCTCTCTATAGCTCTATAATCCCTTATCAGAAATCCATGGGGCCAGATGTGTTTTGAAATTCAGAATCTTTCAGATTTTAGAAAATAGGTCTGTTAAATATTATGTAACATAGGAGCTCTGGTAGCATAGTGCCTAAGGCACTTGACTGCTAACCAGAAGGCTGGCGGCTCAAATCTACCAGCCACTCCTCGGAAGGAAGGTTGGGCAATCCTACTTCCGTAGTGATACTGTCTCAGAAACCCAAGGAGGGGGGCCGACTCGACGGCACATAACAACAACAACAACATTATGTAACAGCTCCAGGAGAGTCTGGAACAGTACTCTTAATCAAACTCATTACTATGTTGGCAATAAAACACTAAGTATGAATATTCATACTAAGCTGGATAAATAAAGACAAATAAACCCCTCACATCAGGTCAGATCAGGTTTTGTCACTAAATGAGTTTGGTGTCTAAGAAAGACAACAAAACTGAATATAAGCACTAGTACAGCTGAGTATATCCCAGAAAAAAAGAATATTAAAATAAATTGAGAGTAATCATTTACTTTTATCATTCTTAGTTCTTCTGGGATTTCAAGATTGCAGGTAGGAATTGAGATTTTATAATTTGAAAATCCCATTAGGCACACAAAAATTCTCATCAAGATCAGTCCACAGTTACATTTTTATTAATTTTCCATACTGAGTTTTAGGACTGAGTCTACTTCTGCAGTATCAAGGAAAGGTTAGAAATAAAACAAATTTAAGCATTCACTTTCCCCAATTGTGTATGCTCAAAATTTTTAATAAAAAACATTTTTTTAAAAAAATATAAAACAAGTATTCAGTAAGTATTTGCTGAGTTTCTCCTATGTGCCAAGTTCTGTACTAGATATTGAGGATTCAAAAAAAAGACTTGACCTCATGCTACTTATAATTTAGCAAAAAAGACAACCATGTATGTAACAGCTAACCTTTTAAACATGGCATTCTATTCTGAGCTTTGCTATTAATTATGAATAATGGATACACATAGTTTTATTTGGCTAGCACCTTTTCCTTCTTGTTTTTGAACGGCCTACATAGAGAAAGAATTAAAGCCATGGACACAGTAGTGTCAACTAAGGAGAAATTTTGAGTGAGAAGACAACAGGGCCTTAGGCTGAGCTTTGAGGGACTCCCACATTGGTTGTTAGGTTGATAAACCTGCAAAGAGACAGAGGAGGAACATATGGAGAAGGAAAAAGAAACCAAGAGTGTTATGTCACAGAAGCAAAGAGAAGCAACTATTCAAGAAGGAGAGAATCAATATTGTTGAATGCTGCTGAGGTTAAATAAATTGACAACTAAAAATACTATTTAGGTTTATCAACATGAAGGTAGGTTGTTGCTGACCTTAGTAAGAGCTACTGCCATGGTATGATGGGGGGGGGGGGGGGAGCCAGAATGGAGTGGGTTGAGAAACAAATAGAAGGGAAAGCAATGCAATCCAGAAAGAATGTCATTCACCCACAGGAAAAAAATGACTTCAAGGAGTAAGGAAGTAAAATGAAATAGAAATCTAAGAATAAAGACAACACTGAAAAGAAGAAACAGTTGCAGCTCCAGGAAAAGTAAATGGAAAAATAAAAATTATGAGAGGAATCATTTACTTTTACCATTTTCATGTGATAAGCCCAGCCTTCATGACACAGGATTACATGTCCTATGGGTCCAATCAGACTACCAGGTCTGTTGTGAGTAATTTTCACATAATCATATCGACAATTAGTAATAAATGATATTTACTGGTTTTTTAATTTTTGGACTATATATTAGAATTGGAAGACAGGAATACTTTGTTGTTTAGGTCTCTAGTTCTAGCAGATTCTCTGAAGCAGAGATTAGTAACATGTTATATTTTCTTATACAGCATTTGATGAACATTTGCACCAAAAAACCACTACAATGATGAAAAACAACTGACCAGGTTTAGAACATAGTTAACAGCCAGGGGAAAGAAGATTTAAATGTCTCTTATTTTTATCTTACAGACAGGTACTTTTTATTTTATGGACTGAAATAAATTCTGACATGCTAAATGGCTGTTGTTTTCTATAGTTACAACATTAATAAAAGGGTTTCAATGGTTTGGTAAAACTTTGTAATTGTTTAAAATATTGACAATATCAAGTGGAATGGAGAAATGACATACTCATACCCTTTTGTGAGAATATAAATTAATGCACACTCTCTGCAAGGATAATGTACAATATACCATATATTAACATGTACATACCCTTTGTCTGATTAACACCTCTAGGAATCCATCTTAAATCACTTGTAAAAGTGCTCAAAGTTGTAATATATCTAAGGGTTTAATACACCACCAATGTTCTTTACAACATTTTTGTAATGACAGAGATAAACTAGAGATAAATTCAGTGTCTATCAATTGAGTAACAGTTGGGATAAATTATAGTACATTCATATTATAGACAACTTTGCATCTTAAAAAGAACGTGATGGTTCTATACAAATTGAAGTGGAAAGATGGCTTAAGACAATAAAAAGCAAGAAACTGAGCATTATGAATAGGATGCAATTTTTGTTAAAAAAAAAAAAAACACTGTATAACAACTATATATTTATATAAATATATAACACACAAATTTTTAGAATTATACCATCCTGAATACAAACAAGCAAATATCTTAAAGTAATTTCAAAACAGCGGGGCAAAGAGCTACTCACCTATTGAATTTAACAGCAAGGCCCAGATCAGCAATACAACAACTTCCATTTTTCTTGATGAGGATATTTTTGCTTTTTAGGTCTCGATGAGCAATTGCAGGCTTTCCTTGGGTGCCATATATTTCTGTATGGAGATGGCACAGGCCACAGGCAGCTGAATAAGCCAGCTTAAGTAGAGCTCTGGTGTCTAGTGTAGCACATTTCAGGAAGTCATAGAGAGATCCATTTTCATGGTAATCAGTAATCAAATAGAGTTGAGTCCAGGAACCTGTGCCTTTAATATCTGCTGCTATAAAACCTGCCCAATTAATGAGTTTAAAATGTTAGTTATCATCAGAGGTGGCCAAGAAGAGTAATGATGAAGATATTGAAAACAACGTAGGTAATGAAAACTTAATTTGCCTGACAAAATCTCCTAAATCTGTTGCCAAAAACTCTATGTCTACCATTAACACACAGAACTTTATACTTCTGCATTAAATTAAAAAAACTCTTAACAATAATCATGCAAATGGCAATAATATGACTAAGTATAAGATCACACTATCAGTTGCCATTGAGTCAATTCTGACTCATAGTGACCCCATGTGTATCAGAGTAGAATTCTGCTCCATAGGGCTGTTCAGTTTTTCATTGATCACCAGTTCTTTCTTCTGAGGTGCCGCTGAGTGGACTATAAGATCAGATATCATATAATAATTATCTTGGAAATGTTACCAACCTACATGATTCTCTAAGCAGGTAAAACCTTTACAAAGAAAGAATGTGGAAACGTTCTCAATTTCAAATTGGAAAATGGACATTTTAGAATAATAAAGCCAAAAATGTTCAATCAAGAATTGTTTCTAACTAAGCCAACTCCCATTTGCCCATCATATTTGCCTTTTCAGTCTGGCCTGTTGACTGGCAGGTCTACAATACTGCTACCTCTCTTCCTATCTCTTCCTCTTCTTTCCCTGCCAAAAAAGGTTACTGAATACTTATCATATTGACCCACATACTACTGATACACACAACTTCAAATTAAAGGGTAGGGAAATAGTAGTGGCAAAAAAAGGGCAGAGAGCTTGATCAGTTTATGTACCCATGTTTAGGGTCAGATCACACCTAAATTATTTTGCTACTGTGTACATGTGGGGGAAATACCTGCTACGCATAGTACAATGAAATGTATTATATGGGAGACAGGTGTTCAGCTTACAAAAGGCAAAAGGTACATCTAGTTAAAATTAGCTTAGAAACTTACATAAAGTACCTACAAAATACTTGATTTCTGTTACTATATTAAAAAAAACAATAAACTCCAATGAAGTAGTTATTTCTTTCAGTGTTTTAACTCATTGTTGTTTCTTTAGTTAAGTGGTAAATAAATTGGTTGGTTGGCATTTAAGACTGTGTTGTGTTTTAACCGTGCATTCTGCTGGGTTTCCTTTAACTAAATAGACAAACCAAAACCCAAACTCACTGCCATCGAGTCGTTTTCCCAACTCATAGTGACCCCTCTTTGGGTTTCCAAGGCAGTATCTCTATGGAAATAGATTGCCCAACCTTCCTTCCAAGGAGTGGTTGGTGGGTTTGAACCGACGCTTCTGGTTCTCAGTCAAATGGCTTAGGCAATATACCTTACTCAAATGTACGTAAGTGAATTAACATACTTTTCAAAGCCCATATGGTAGGTTTCCACCAGCATCCCTTTAACCTTGTCAGAATACACAGTTGGTTGAAATCAAATAAAATCAGATGTGTACTCACCAAGGATATTCTCATGGCGCATAAGCACAGTTTGGTAGATTTCAGTTTCTCGAAACCAGCTAGCTTCTTCAGTGGTAAAAAACACTTTGACTGCCACCTTTTCACCACGCCATTTACCCATCCACACTTCTCCATACCGGCCTTTACCAACTTGCCGAACCATCTGAATCTGTTTGGCAATAGTTCGCTGAACCTTCATAAAAGAAGTCAAAGGTTTTAACTCCTGACCAAAAGAACCCATCAAGGCTGAGAAACTGTTGTAATCATTAATTCCATGAAAAACCATGGCACATCCAACCAACTAACACACCCCACTGCCATCGAGTTGGATCCGACTCATAGCGACCCCTCCTTGGGTTTCCAAGGTGGTATCACTATGGAGGTAGACTGCCCAACCTTCCTTCTGAGGAGTGGCTGGTGGGTTTGAACCACCAGCCTTCTGGTTAGCAGTCAAGTGCCTTAGCCACTATGCCACCAGACAGCCTTCCAACCAACTAAACAACTTTAATGTTATAGTACCCCCCATAGGCCCGTAGGTAGTATACTCCCACATTCTATGCTTGGCCACATGACTTACGTCTACCAGTACAACAATAGCAAATGTGATGGAAGCAAAGACTTGTAAAGTGTTTGTGCATTGGGACTTGTCCTCTCTTGTTGTTCTCGGGAAACTTGCAACCAAAGAACAATACCATGTGAACTATCAAGCCATAGGAATGAACTATATACCATCCAAGCTGCAGCTGAGCAAGCATAGAGAAACTGTCCAACAGACACAAAGAATCATGAGAAATAATAAATGTTTGTTGCTTTAAGCCACTAAGTTTTGGGGTGGTGTGTTATACAGTAAAATCTAATGACAATTACAAAACCAACTCAATTCTGTTAAGACCGTACATGACAAAGCCCCTGCCTAACTTTCCAGCTTTATCATTTGGTATAATCTACCCATTCCAATCCCTCTCTGTTTTGTTGATGTCTTTAAAAAAATTTTTTTATTGTGATTCGAGTGAAACTTTACAGAGCAAATTTATTTTCCATACAGCAGTTCATATACATTTTGTCTCATGACACTGACTCCAATTCCCTACAATGTAATGGCTCTCTTCCCACTTCCTCCCCATAGTTATCTCTTCCCTGTGTCCTTCCCTCCCATGTACTCCCTGCCCTTCAGTTATACCATGACTGACTGCTCCAAGTAGTGTATCTACCTGATGTAAATGTTCACCCCATATGTTTGTCTATTATATGGCTGGAAGCCACAGAAGTGAGGGTTCAATTCCAGACCTGAAAGGTAGCTAGGGGCCATAGTCTCAGGGGTCTCACCAGGCTCTACCAGACAAGCAAACCTGGTCTTTTTCTTTTTTTAAAAAATGATTTTGAGTTTTAGTCCACATTGTTCTCCTACTCTATCTGCACCAACTGTTGTTGTTGTTGTTATGTGCTGTACAGTCACACCTGACTCATAGCAACCCCTCCTTGGGTTTCCGAGGCAGTATCACTACGGAGGTAGACTACCCCATCTTCCTTCCGAGGAGTGGCTGGTGGGTTTGAACCGCCAGTCTTCTAATTAGCAGTCAAGTACCTTAGGCACTACGCTACCAGAGCTCCCCCTGTACCAACTAGTTCTTTTAATCTCATGATCATATAATAGGCTGAGGATAGTATGGTCTTCCAGTCCCTTGGATTGACTGTTTCCATGTGTCTTTGGTTTTCTTCATTCTTTGCTCTGGATGAGGAGAAACCCATCATTGCATCTAAATGGCTGCTTGCAAATCAAGCTCATTCTTGTCTCAGTCTTTTTGCATTTAGAATGCTATTTCTCTCTGCTAAACATTTTCATCAGCACACACAGTTCTCAGTTGCTTTTATCAATATTAAAATATTGTACTTACATACCTATTTGATTAAAATTCTATTCCTGCTGCTCACAGAATAATTATTTATTTAGGACAGTTCCTAAAGTACAACAGGTACTTTATTAAATATTTGTTGAATAAATAAAAGATGTACATTAACAACTTTTCATTTCTAGAAGCATTAATATCATTCTAAATTTAAAAGACCACTATTGTTCCCAAAATCAAACAACATACTCTTTGGGTAAATCTGCAGCAAAAGATCTCTTTAAAGCATTAAAAAGCAAAGATGTCACTTGGAGGACTAAGGTGGACCTGACCCAAGTCATGGTATTTTCAATCATCTCCTGTGAATGTGAAAGCTGGACAATGAACAAGGAAGACTGAAGAAGAACTGATGCCTTTGAATTGTAGTGTTGGCGAAGAATACTGAAAATACCATGCACTACCAGAACAACAAATCTGTCCTGGAGGAAGTGCAGCTGGAATGTTCCTTAGAAGCCAGAATGGCCAGACATCAACTCACCTACTTTGGCCATGCTGTCAGAAGGGACTACTCCCTGGAGAAGGATATTATGATTGGGGTAAAGTAGAGGGTCGGTGAAAAAGAGGAAGACCTTCAACAAGATGGACTGACAAGTGGCTGCAACATGGGCTCAAACAGCAATGATCGTGAGGATAGCACAGGATTAGGCAGTGTTTATTCTGTTGTACACAGAGTGTACAACTCGAGTTGGAAATGATTCTACAGCACCTAACAACAACATGCTCCACACACTGGAAATACACCTTGCACGAAGCCATTTGGTCTTTGTTATAATTTTTTCTGAGCAATACCAACACTTCAAGCTAATGAATGGGGCTGACCATACCAAGAGGGAATACATACCTGGGGGCTGATGCTAAGCCTGGAAAATGGAGGCTCAAGTAGCTTCCTTGTTGGTGACCATGCATAGGAGAGGGACACGGAAGCCTCACACTGTGACCCTTCCCAGATCTCTTCCTATGCACTTCTTTGTATCCTTTTTTGTTATACTAAAAAAAGCTGTTAATATAGTTATAGTGTTTCCTATGAGCTCTGTGAGTCATTTGAGTGAATTATAGGACTCAAAGGAGTAGTGGCAGTTGGCTGGTCTGAAGTTGAGGGAGTTCTGAGCTTGTGGCTATTACTCACCGACCTAGCCCCAGGTAGACTGGGATCAGAGAAGGGCTGCATGAACAGCTGGAGTCTGAAATGAACAGGGAACATATGCTGAAATTTCCACAGGACACAGTTGGTGTGCAAAGGGGTGTTATCCATCATACAGTCTGGCATCAGAAGTGGGCGGCCTTCGTCTCCCCAAGTTATTTGTACAATATTTAAATAACTGACTTCATGAATCATTTCTTACAGAATCTTCCTAAAACTTTCTTAAACATCAGAATTTTTGGGTATATTTACATAAAAGTTTTGACAAAGTATATAGTCATGTAACCATCAAAATGGTAATTAAGATATAGAACATTTCCATTATCAAAAAGTTCCTTTTATTTCTTTGAAATCAGTATCTTCCTCACCCATCTCCACCCCTAGTATCAGTGATCTGTTTTCTGTCCTATAGCATTGCCTTTTCTACAATTATCATATCAATGGAAACTATGCCATGTAGCCTTTTGTGTCTGGCTTTTTTCACATAGCACAAAATACTTTTGAAATTCATTCTCATTGTACTTCATTCTTTTTTAAAATCACTGATCAGTATTTTACTATGTATGTACCACAATTTGTTTATTCATTTACCAGTTGATGGTTTTCTGGGTTGTTTCCAGATTATCTCTATAATGAACAATGTTGCTATGTTGTTGTTATGTGCTGTCGAGTCACCTCCAACTCATAGCAACCTTATGTACAACAGAACAAACACTGCCCAGTCCTGAGCCAGCCTCACTATTCCTACTATACCTGAGCCCATCGATGCAGTCCTGTGTCTACCCAGCTCACTGAAGGCCTTCCCTTCTTTTATTGACTCTCCACTTTACCAAGCATGACATCCTTCTCCAGAGAATGGTCTCTTCTGACAACATGACCAAAGTAGGTGAGACGAAGTCTGGCCATTAATGCTTCCAAGGAGCATTCCAGCTGCACTTCTTCCAGGACAGATTTGTTAGTCCTTCCAGCAGTCCATGGTACTTTCAGCATTCTTCACCAGCACCACAACTCAAAAGCATCAACTCTTCTTCGATCTTCTTTATTCATGGCCCAGCTCTCACGTGCGTATGAGGCTACTGAAAATACCATGGCTTGGGTTAGGCGCATCCTAGTCTTCAAGGAGATATCTTTGCTCTTCAGCACTTGAAAGAGGTCTTCTGCAACAGATTTTCCCAATGCAATATGTCTTTTGATATACTGACTGCCGCTTCCATTGGTGTTGATTATAGAATCAAGTAATATGAAGTGTTTGAAAACTTCAATCTTTCTCCATTTATCGTGATGCTGCTTACTGGTCTACTTGTGAGGATTTTTGTTTTCTTTATATTGAAGTGTAATCCATACCGCAGAGTGTAGTCTTCAATCTTCATCAGTAAGTGCTCCAAGTCATCCTCACTTTCAGCAAGCAAAGTTGTGTCATCTGTGTATCTCAGGTTGTTAATGAGGCATCCTCCTATCCTGATGCCACATTCTTCTTCATATAGTCCAGCTTCTCAGATTATTTGCTCAGCATACAAGTTGAATTAAGTATGGTGAAAGGAAACAACCCTGATGCACTCCTTTCCTGATTTTAAACCATGCAGTATCCCCTTGTTATGTTCAAATGACAAAATGGTTTACGTATAGGTCCTCATGAGTACAATTAAATGTTCTGGCTTGAATTTTGTCCTCAGTTCTTTCAGCTTGAGAAATGCCAAGTGTGTTCTTCCCTTTTGGTTTTCTAACTTCAACTCTTTGCACATTTCATCATAATAACTGATTCTGTCTTCTCAAGCTGCTCTTTGAAATCTTCTGTTTAGCTCTTTTACACCCTGTCAATTTTCCTATCTGCTTTAGCTATTCTCCATTCTAGGGCAAGTTTGAGAGTCTCTTCTGACATCCACTTTGGTCTTTTAATGACCTTTTGCTTTCTTCATGGATGATGTTCTTGATGTCATTCCACAATTTTTCTGGTTTTTGGTCACTGTTGTTCAATGCATCGAATCTACTCTTTAGATGGTCTCTAAAATTCAGGAGGGATAAAAATCAAGGTCCTATTTTGGCTCTCCTGGAATTGTTTTATTTGTCTTCAGTTTCAACTTGAACTTGCATATTAGCAGTTGATGGTCTGTTCCACAATCAGCTCCTGGTCTTGTTTTGGCTGAA